GGGATCGTTCCACCTGGATCCGACCAGGCCCGCCACCACCACCAAGAGCAGCCGCAGCCCACCACTACCAGGATATAGTGGCCACACCACATGGTTCAGCAGTTCCCATTACCACCATGGAACAGTGGGAAGTGCTGCACGAGGCGGATCCAGTCCAGGCCAATGCTGATAACCGACAGCTTCACAGACAGGCCGTATACCTAGAGGGTAAAGCGGTCCAAGGACTACGTGATTCAGGAGCTACTATCACTCTGGTAAAGAGTCACCTGGTTTCGAATCAGGCTAAGCTAAGTAAAACTGTGGCCGTCAGGGTAGCCGGGGGAGCAGTGCACCGGCTACCTACAGCAAGGGTACATTTGCATTGGGGAGCGGGGTCAGGAGACGTGGAGGTGGGGTTGATGCCGTAGTTACCGGCGGAGGTTTTATTGGGGAACGATCTGGGGAGGCTCACGTCTGCTTTTGAGCCCCAGACATCCACCACAGGAGACGCTCACCCTGTGGTCACCCGACAACAGGCCCGCACCCAGGACTACAACACACTCCCGGAGGTTCAGGTAAGAGACCCTTCCCCTTCCTTAGAATGTGTTCCCTGGGCCCCACCTAATGAATTTGCAGCCGAAGTAGTAACCGACCCTACGCTGCAAATATATAGGGACAAGGTTGTCACTGACTCACCCGGGGGGGAAGGAGAGAGATTTGTCTGGGACAAGCAGCTTTTATACCGAGAGACAGACAAGCAGATTGCTGGGTCAGACCCGATAGTGATGAGGCAGCTAGTGGTGCCGCAGCGGTACCGAGCAGAGTTACTCCGGATAGCGCATGATAATCCGCTATCCGGACATCTAGGGGTCGCACTAGGTACAGACTAACCTAAAGATTCTTCTGGCCAGGGATCAGCCAGGAAGTACGCAGGTATTGCACTACGTGCGATACCTGCCAGAGAGTAGGGAAAAGGGGAGACCGAAGGAAGGCGAAACTACACCCCCTACCCATAATTGAGGAACCCTTTAGCAGAATAGCGGTAGATTTGATAGGCCCCCTCAAGAAAGCTAGCCCATCAGGAAAAAGGTATATTTTAACGGTAGTAGATTATGCCACTAGATATCCAGAGGCAGTGGCTCTGACCAACATCCACGCTGAAACGGTCGCGGATGCCCTCATGCGGATCTTCTCCCGGATGGGATTACCCAGGGAGATTATCTCGGATCAGGGTACCCAATTTACAGCAGAATTCACCCAACACCTCTGGAGGATCTGTGGCATTAAGCCTATTATCAGTGCCCCTTACCACCCCCAGACTAATGGGCTCTGCGAACGGTTCAATGGTACATTGAAACAAATGCTCTGAACCTTCACAGAGACCCACAAGGACTGGGAGCGATTCCTGCCGCATCTCCTGTTCGCTTACCGGGAGGTGCCGCAGGAATCCACAGGGTTTTCCCCGTTTGAACTGCTATTATTAGAGAGCATTGGGAGGGAGACCGGAGCGCAGATGGCACTCCCATCATACCATATGTGTTGGCCTTCCGAGACCGCCTGGAAGCGTTGACTAGGACGGTAAGGGAAAACCTTCAGG